TCTTTTAATTTTTAGGGTTCAGACTTCTGGATATGGGAATCTTCAGCAAAATATTTATGCAGTATCAGGCTTCGGTTACACCAGCTGTTGTCCCGTCGAAAGTCGCTAATCCGCAAATATCTGCTTCCTTAGTTAGCAATAAGTGTCATTTATTTTCCTTTCAATGATAATGTAAAAAACTATAGAGATACTTTTCGCTTTTTTTTCCGTAAATGTATTTGTGTGTTCACAGGTATGCTACATTTTTAATCTTGTTGGTTTATTGTTCATGCTGCCCAATAGTTGTTAAAGAGAATATTTAGATTTAAGTTTTCAAAATTTGTATTTTATTAAGTAGGAGGTTTACGTTTAGTATTCTATTTTGTACTCACTGGTGCCAAAAGCCAGAATTATACCTCTGTTACTAACACCTCCGCTCAATTCTGTGGTTTCATTCAGATGCTTCAGGCTCCTGAAGAGAGTAAAACTGAAAGACTGACTAAGTATACTGCTGCTGGGGTAGGTGCTGGTTGTACTTTGCTTGCGCTTTTAGGAATGATTTGGAACTCGATGCGTGGTAACAATACGAAAGTTCAGAAATTCATGAGGTTATCAATGTTGTACCTTCTTATTTTGCGGGACATTTCGTTGTAACGCATTACTGTTTGCAGTTGAGGGAAAACAAGCGATTTTTTGGGCGTCGGTTCAGTGACGTTTGTTTTAGATACCGTGTCGTGGCTCAGTTTTCCACTGTTGCTGCTGTAGCTGCTTGCGCTGTTTATTTCGCCAAAAAACTCCCAAGAAACAGTGAAGCAAAAACCGTTCTTCAGGAGGAAATTCATGTTGCAAAGCATTAAATTATTATTTTTTAATCAGCATTTCTGCTTCCGTTTTTAAATCTTACTGTTTTGATTTACTAAAGTATTATTCCTCCTCGGTTTTTTTGTGAGGAGCATATCCATAGATAAAATTATTTCAAGAAATTAAGGTTTCTTGCTTGTCGTGTTAGTTGTTTACTACGCTTATTTTATTTCATATTCATTATTTTCTCAGGATGAACAACTGTTATAATGCTGGACCTTTGGTCATTCATTTTTTATTTTCAAATGTTCAGGACTGTCCGTTCATTTTGTCATTTTATAATAAAATAGTTATTTGTTTGTGGTATAAGCAGCTGTGCTCGCGTCTACTCGCAAAATTCAGTGTATGTTGTTAAGATTGTATTAATAAAAAATTCTGAGAATTATGCCCTACCTGGGATCAGGCGAGTAAGTCATGTTTGGTGCGCCGGGACTTGTAGGAACAGTCGCTGTGCTCTGTGGCCTTTGTGGGCAAATTTTTCACTTAAATTCGATGGAGATGGAGATTGCAGTGTTCTTATCCATCTCTGAAGACAGGTGAGGTGGTTCAAGAACATTTTTTTTCCCCAGTTTTAGTTCATGCTGATTTAGACTCCTGTAATGCCTGGCAACCAAACAGATGATGCTGTAGATGAAGATGCAACAGAACTTAAGTTCCCGAAAGGTATAGCAGTTTTTCCGTGACTGAGTTTCTGTCAATGTTTTTAAATACAAGGACTTGTGTGTTGTACAAAACATCTGTGCTTTTTAGAGTTTGAACAAGCTGATACGTTATTAACATCTGAAGTTTTTTTGTTGTTAGAACATCGGCGTCAGCAGAGTGAACAGAAGGTAACTGTTATTTGGCACTTTTAGAGGACTTTTTGTGGTCATGATTCATTTTACAGTTCTCCTAAATACAGAATTGCGCGATTGTTGGAGTGTATGGAGTCACGTTTCCTGAACATTAGTAGGCTACGATTATTTTTTTAGGAGGAAATAGATGAAATGAGTGATGTTTTTGTCAAAACTCTGAATTATTCAAGACGAATGGCTCGGTATAAAAGTCGTGAAACGATACGTGCGGTTCGAACGTTAGTTTTAGCTTATTTTCTAGCACGGAGGAAGTGAAATGAAAAGAACTATTTCTTTGTATTTGCATTTTTTTTAGGTTATTAGCGAATAAGCCGTTGCATAAATTTGAAGTTGCACAAATAGCCAATCTGTGCCCTGAATCGGCCGAGGAAGCAAAAGCTTTAATACCTAGGTTGGTTTTAATAACTTTTTGATGGTAATTTCCTGCCATATCTGGTCAACGATCCATGTTTCAGTTTGGAAAATAAGATGGAAGATGACGAGCTGGATGAACTGCTGAAGGATCTACACAGCAAAAAAACTTTCCAGTAAATACTGTTTTGTGTCAAACGTTATGGTCCTTCATCACATTTTCTTACGCTGTTTTTTTTTTTTTTCGAAATTCAAGACGCGTTAGTTGTGTGCCACACGCCGGAACCGTTCTTCTGCTTGTGGCCGAAACTTCTGCTGGAACCTACTTCTATCTTCATTTCCGTTGCATCATTTCTTTTAAATGATTGTTAATTATGTTAATAAAACACGTTTATTATCACCATGAATTCTATTAAATTTCTACTTAGCGTTAGGATAGAGATTTGTTGTCGCTGCTGCTGTAGCCTTTCTCTTGTTTTTCACACATAGAGGTTCCCATCAGAGGATCAGCAAGACCTATTTGATCTATGGCTAAATAGCTATGTTCGGTCAACAATTTTTCGCCTCGAAATTCTACCTGAAATTAGCCGCCTTGGATTTCTTTGTTGATATGACGTGATTATGATAATGTACTGGGGAAGGAGTGTTTTTTATCATTTTTTTTT